GTATTCCAGCGGAAGCTTACGGAAGAACTGGTGCTCCAACGAGTCCTTCAGAGTGAGCCGATGGCTGGGCTCGTACTCCAGCATATGGCCGATCAGGTCGAACAGCGCCCGGTGCTCCTCGTCGTCCACCGTCATGTACCGGAGCAGTGGCTTACAGTTCTCCCGTACGTACCGCCCGTTCGACGACTTCTCGTCCCAACTGAGCCTTCCGTGATAGAAGTAATTCGTTCTGAAAACACACATACCGTTCCCCAACTCATTAGTAAATGTTACTAATTATGTCGTCAAAAAATAATACCTAAAACTACAGTACGTCTAGTCTTACGGTAAGATTGAGATCTCAATTAAGTAATTACTGTACAATCGATACTAGACTCAGACATAAATGAATAAAAGCATAATAAATGCGATAATTACTTGGTTTTGCGGCACATCCTATAGGGAATGGGCCCCAGTATCCTCTCCATCATAGCCAGGTGCTCGCGATTGTCATGCGTTTGAAACAGTGTTATACCTAAATACAATTCAAATAATATGCAGCCAATGCTCCAGACGTCGCACGGCTGACTCCACCCCAACTCGAGTATGACTTCCGGTGCCCTGTAGTGACGGGTGGACACGATTGTCGAGTGGTGTTCGTCATCAAAGGTCGCCGAACCGAAGTCTATGAGCTTTATGTGAGTACTCTTCACCCGTTTTATGTCCTTTTTCTGGACGCGAAAACACACAGCAATTCGGGTCACAATTCATACACACAATTGAGTCAAACATTTTTGATTGCAATTACTTTTTTGGTGTTATAGAAGACTTCGTAATCGGAATCAAAAAACAATATATTCTCCGGCTTTAGGTCCGTATGAGTCAATTGGTTGTCGTGAAGAACTGACACGTAAATGAAAACAACAATTAACACCACAATTGAGAGACAAATAATAATTTACATTAAATATGCCCTCAATTGACGCTTACATTTAACGGAATACACCAATTGGTAGCCCATATGGCGCACCTGTTCCAGTGTGTAGGGCTGGTAGTTATTGTCTTTCATGAAGTCAAACACGGATAGGCCGAGCATCTCGAAGGCCAGACACATGTGGCCGTGATAGTCAAACCAGTCNTGGTAGTTATTGTCTTTCATGAAGTCAAACACGGATAGGCCGAGCATCTCGAAGGCCAGACACATGTGGCCGTGATAGTCAAACCAGTCCAACATCTTGACGCACAGCCTGTCCAACAAACAAAAACACACGTTTTATACACTATTAGACAAGTAGTGAGTGAGGAATGCCTACTTTCTGCCGGTGGGATCTTTTAGTGTCATTTTCTCGAGAACGTTAATCTCGAGTTTGGCCGCATCCCTGTACTTCTTCACATTTTTAATGATCTTTAATGCCATCACTTGTTGGCTATAATTGTGTAAAACAAGCGCTCAGTCTTTTCAGTGCATTACTTGCGATCAAAACTAAGATTTTTGTGTTTCAAATGAATCGCAAATGAAACGCCAAATACATAGCAATAAAAAAACAAAAACCCGTTTGAAATCATAAAAAACAGCAAACTTTTTAAGAATTGAGGCAAAAAGTAGTCGTATTATGAAATGCATGCAAATGAGTGACAAAAATAGACCCTTTGATTACATCGAGTATTAATAAGAATAAGAGACTAAATAAGACTGTTTGGGAAGTTTGCCATCAAATTGTTAGCGAATATCACACATAATTCAGACTAAAAACTAAAAACTCTTTTCCAAATAAAATACATTTTCGCACAAAAAATACCATTTAATGAGAAAATTCAAGAATAACTGTTTTTTGACTCACTTTCTGAAGTCAAGTACACGAACCACTTTACCGAACGTTCCCTCTCCCAGAGTGGACACGATTTTGTCTGCAATATTCACATCAAAAAAACAAAAAACACACAAACATTAGATTTCAGCATAAAATGTGCAAAACAGTGCATAAAACTTATCATAACATTAAGATTGTCTCGAAAAATATTTGGAAAAATAGAGAAAATATATAAAAAGAGTATAAAACCCAATACTGGCCCTCAAAATAGATAGAGAATAACTGTATGGATACGAAATAAACAGTCCTATTATAAGCACATAAATGTACGGCAAATGACTTATGTATTTATGGTATCGAGTGGTTTGGATATCGAGAATCTCTGATAGGCTTTCAAAATCTCATTTCAATTTAATGAGTAGTGAATAATATCTGTGTTTTGTTTGGATATTCAGTACATCTCTCTTGCAGGACATCTCCATTCTTGTAGATGAGGTGTCCGTCGTCGTCATCCTCGATGCTCGTCGCTCTGGAGTGTGACTGTTCTCGCGGTGTCTGTCCGCCCGACCAACCAATAGCCAGTCAATCAGTGTATTCATTGGGCGTCCAAAGCGGGCATTCAATTGTCGTTCAAGTGTTCATGTTTTCAATTCATGTGTTCATTCAGTTCAGTGTTCGAGACATTCATTTCGGTTTATTCGAGATTTTTTCGGTTTAATTCGAGATTCAAATCGTTTGTGTGTTTTGTTCAGTCATTCAGATTCACATTCAGAGTATATATGAATACAAAAAAACGAGAGAAAAGGGGCGAAAATAATGGATAGTTTCGACAAAACCATACATTTATATATAATACAATATATCGACTAAATGCTTAAAAATATATATAGTTTTTAAAAATTATAATTGAAAGCAATTATTACGACACAAATAAAAGAGACGCTTTAAGACTATATTAAAACTAAAAATAATAACTACCAAAAAACTATACATTAGTTAAACATTTGATGTTTTTAGTCAATAATTAATACTTACATTTTAAATAGACGTCAATCGAGAAAAACAAATTATTATAATTAACGTAAATAATAAAACAACAATTAAAAGTAATATTTAAAACTTATAAAACATCAAAAGTATAACTAATGACACTGTGTTAAGTAACTACACATAGCCATACAGAATAAATACAGAATATCATAATAACTATGAAAAACACATTAAGAAAAGAGCTATTTTTCAATTAATCAATTAATTCGTTATAATATTAACTGATATTAAGTATGAATACTGTATTAATAAATACATAAAAAGGCACATAATTATAAACCCTACGAAAAGCTGCTAAATATACACAAATACAAATCATGCAATGCATTTGGTTAATACTGTAAATAGGTTGGCAAAACATACCGCGTTTGTTAGGCTTGTGTTTAATTACAAAGCAATCGATTTCTAATCTTAATCTAAAAATACTGTGTTTTTGCGTAAAAGTCTGTTCATTACATAGTCTTCATCGGTGACGAGTCTCTGCTTGTGCTCGTCGGCGGTGATTGTCTGGAGTTTGAGTCGTGTGGAGAATCGGTGCAGAAAACTGGAGCACGACCTCAACATCACCGCCGATGACCCGGTCAACGATGAGGGAGTGGTGACACTGTCCTCGTGG